ATGTTGGCAAAGATCGATACAGACTTGATGGAACGAAGATATGAAGGTAACGAATTGCTTTATTGTTTTGCCGTTGTATTTTTTGTCTGTACTTTATAATCCTGTATGCATGTTTATGGGACTAATGTTAATTTTGTCTGAATCCAGATTTTCTTGGACCCAAAGGCAAAGAACGATACCGAGAATAAGCTGGAGACTTTTTCTGGGGTATACAGGAAGCTTTCAGGGAAAGATGTCGTCTTTGAATTTCCGATAACTGAGGCTTGAAGAACTCTTTAACGCTTCTAGATTTATTTTTAGTGCTCGTATTTGTTAAAAGATTCACTTTTTTTATATTATGAGCTGTCTGAAGTTTTGACTCGGAGAAATCTAGATGTATGCTCATTTTTGTTGAGAAATGTTGGAACAAACTGGTTATCTTTTGTTGAAATTCAAATTATTTATCTTTTCTTTATTTTATACTATTTTTTGCAGAAATTTTCTTTGCTGAGATTGCACATAGTTTGAATTGTTGTAACACGATTTTGTGTTTTCAGCGAAAGTCGAAATTTTCCAAATGCTTTGTTGAAAATCTTATTTCGGAGCTTCCAACATTCGACTATGTAATTTTGAAAATTGCCTTGAGGTTTTGATAGTGCTGTAAGAATTGAAGAAATCAAGACATAGTTCCATTTATAAAATGTATAAAAACTACTTGATGAAAATCGAGCTCCGAAAACTTTATTTCTTTATTTGACTGTGTATCCCCATTTTGCCACACTTGTATGTATATACATATCCTTATTCCTCTTATGTGACTAGTGCATATATTTATTTATTTATATTTGGGGTGCTAATATTACATCGAAAGGCAGCAATACGCAAGGCTCCCATTATTACTGCTTTCAGTACGTCTTCGAAGTATCCGAATCCTCCAAGAACCTGCTATTCACTCCAGCTCTGTACAAATTCAAACCCGATATAGTTTCTACCGTGATCTCGGAATTTGCAGGCGCGAACAGCACATCACCTTCCCTAACCAACTCCTTAGAAGAAGCCACACCCATTGTTCCCTCACCAGATGTGACCACGAAGACAGAAGGACCGTTAACTGCAGGAAAAATGGTAGACGCTTCTTCCGGAAGATTACATCGATCGACCTCAAATTCATCAAATGGAGGGATATATTTCACCGTATAAGGGTTCGAAGGAACTCCATTAAGTATCTCTGGAAAACCCTGCAAAAGAAAGAAAGCAAATTGAGACAAAGGGATTAGCCGATTAGGTATCAAGATTCAAGAGAGCTAAAGTTTGCATGGTCGCTTCTGCCAATTGTTAGTCCTAATATTATTTTTTTAGGGAATATAATATTTGAAGGTAATCGAGAATTTCAAAGCCTCGTCCCGTTTCCAAGATATGACAAGGGTATCAAGATCCAGTCATCACCTGTTTGTATGTGAGCATCGAGCAGAGAGTTTGTACATCCCGATGCTTCGGAGTAAGTCCAGCTCGTACAACGTTGTCTGAAGTTGCCATGCACTCGATACATTCACCGTGTATATAAGCATGAGGTTCGTTTGCTCCCAAGTACAAAGCTTCACCCGGATTCAGTTTCACATAGTTAAATAAAAACGCTGCTATAACTCCAATGTCTCCAGGGTATTGCCTCTCGAGCCTCAAAACCAGCTCCTCCTTCTCTGTTAGCTTCTGCATGAAAAAGACGACATTAACCGAACATACGAAACGTGAATGAGAAACAAATATGAAAAAAAATGTATAATTCTCACATTTACCTCTCGTTTCGAATTCAATCGCCTTATCAACTTTGGAATTATTTCGGATATTACAGAGTTGCTAACTGAGATGAGGTCAGTAAACAGAGATTTGAAGACCTCTTTCAGTTTCTTTTCCCCATCATTTTCGGTTATTTGCAACACTTGGTCTGCACGTGAACTCCCGACTATTTCAACGATCTCGGGTACACTTTGAATAACAGACTTGAGTTCCTAAAAGATTAAAGAGAAAACATTTAAATAAATGCTTTTAAACTTTCCAAAATTACAATGAAGTCCACATTTAAATATAGCTTCAAAACCACTTATTACTCCCATATTCGGAACAGCTTGTACTCTTTTAATTTATCTTCTCGTTTCTAATTTCTGTTTTCAATTCAGCATCTAGAAACATCATCAATGACGACCCTATGAGGCACGGCAATAATTTTACAGATAAAGACTCTAAAATAAACTAGTTTAACTGACATCATTGATTGACGATGTAAAATTGTATACGTCTATTCAAGAACGGAATCCAACATGTGAAACTTTTGTCGTGATCAGCGAATAAGTAACCGAAAGACGTCACGAGGTATGGAAGGAGAAAAAAAGCCATCCGCACCGACTGCTCATTTTTCTCCGTATTTTCATCAAACTTTTGCGGAGACGACTAGTTCGCGGATGGTGTACA